CATTCATTTGGAAATTGCATAAATCAAATAATTGTTGAATTTTAATTAAAGTTTCAGAATAAATGAATGGAATTATTTTAGAAATTGTTTTTAGAAAATCTTGGTAAATATATTTTTATTTTTTACAAGTGTTTCATCCCACTTAATTTTATGAAAATTAGAGAAATTTAGCATAATTTTTAGTGACTGTATAAGTTAAAAGTAGGACCCTTTGGAGAATTTAAATCATCAATATATTTTGTAAAATCAGACACCTTCTTACAAAAAGATGCAATAAAACTAAGATATTTAATTAGAGAAGCTTTTAATTGCTTTTATGAATGATATATATTAAGGACAATATTGTCTTAAAAAATTTTTTCAAGGTCTGTTTTCATTTTTTTACAATTTTAATTAGAATAATTTATATTTTAAAATCTTAAAATTCAGTTTCATTGGTGTAACTCTTAGGAAATATTAAGTAAAACTGTTTACTAATCATATATCGTAAAGCTTGAACCCGAATATTTTTAAAAGAATTTTGAATTGTATGTCTATAAACATGCTGAATTTTATAGATATGGCTGCCCATATACAACACTATCAGAAAATAAGAGTGATAACTACAGTATATTGTTAGTTAAAATTATCTAAAATTCAATAAAACTTTACAGAGAATATTTTCTTAAATTTTTAAGATTATCAAGTACTTAAAAGGCACTCGAGTTATATTCTGCAATTATTTTTTTAAGGTTAGAACAACATTAGATAAAAATGTATCTGTCATTGAGCTATCACAGTGGTGTTAAAAAAGCTGTCAACATAAATAAACAAGCTACCAGTGTGTTAAAAATTGCATTTCTGTGATATTTTAAACGTAAAGTAAATAATAGTTGTTGCAAACCAAATTAATTATACTTTAAATCAGTTAATATTCCTCAAATAAAGTTTCAGAAAAGTACATTTTATTTTTGGAAGATTTGTATTTTTATAACAGTTTGCTAAAAATGCTGCTAAATTAAAAAATTTTAGAAATGTCAAAATGAAAACTTCTTCTAACCAGTTTTTGTTTATTGTAAAATATTACATTTAATCTTGAAATTAAACCTAAAATAAAAGCTTCAAGAAAAATTTTTCATTATTAAAAATTCATTTTAAACATTAGGTATTGCATTTTTGTGGAGGTACCAATAGTAAACCATCCTGCTATGCTTGTTTCCATGAACTGGTGAGCCTTAAGGCTAACCTGCTGCATTTGTGTTTTATTTTTTATGGTATGGTAGACTGGGGAAAAATAGATAGAGCAATAAGAAAAGGCAACAAATCACCAATTGTTGTTTACTGGTTTGATAAAATCTTGGCAGTGACTTGTTTTGTTGCGCTTGCATCTCGGTCTCATGGAGCCTTTTATGCTGAAGTTTGAGTTTGTTCTTATTTCTTTTTTAATTTCTTGTGAATTTTGGCGTGCCCAAAGTTCTGATAAAGTCAAGTTGTGTGTTCAGTGTAGAGAAGTGCCAGAGGGTTCTTAGTATTATTTATCGGAAACTTTTTCAAACAACAAACAGAATCAAAGATATAAAAAAATAATGTTTATTTGATTTTGATTGGAGTGAGTCCTTTGTAATTTGGGTTGGTGAAAGTCCATTAGTTGATAGTTTACAAGTCAGACTTTGGTAGCAGTCAAGAGTGTTTTCTTTGTAAACTTATTGTGGATGTCAATCTGATGTGTTTCTTAATCTTCAGAAGGGCCGAAAAATGTCTTAAGCAGACATCTACTTAAATTCTTCACATGACATGCTGGGTTGGTTTCTCTGGTGGTCCCTTTTTAATTTCTGCCTCTTGATTGTCTATTTATATCCTTTTTGACAGGGCTCCAGACTACTGGTGCAAAGCTTGATTGTGAGATAAGATTGAAATTATAAACAGAGAACCTCACTGGAAAATACATAAACTTAAGGAATCAGCATGTATATTAGGTCACAAAAATCTAAGTTGGCCAAGCATAGACATCGATACAATATGGAAACCAGTAATACAGAGTGCTAGAGAAAAACAATAATAACAAATTGTAATATGAGCTCTGATAAAATTGATTAATGAGATATTAGGTTTATAAGTTCCAGAAATTTATACATTGATATTCACATGGCTTAATGGATGAAAGCATTGGTTAAAGTAATGCAGTGACTTGATCAAAGAGTTGTAAGTTCAATACCTGGCCACAGTGGAAGTGAACAAAACTTGGAGAGTTGAGTTTCTAAGGGAAATAACTGAAAGTGAAATATCCAGAAGAGGCATGGGCCAATAAAAGTTTAAGATTTGTTTTTATTTAATCTAAACATAAATTGTTCAAAGTCTTCTGAAAGTTTTCGGTTTTTCATAAGAAGTTATTTTTTGTGGGGATTGTTAAAGTGGTTCATAGGTATATATTGTACTTCTTTGTAGGTTTTTCAGTGTTGTGTCCTGTGTGTATCAGTGTATTTTTTTCAAGTATTATGTCTTTTGTCAGTTTATAGTTTTCCATTTCCTTTTTTTGTGAAAAACAAATGTACAGAATTAATTTCTAAAATTAAAATCTGTAATTTTATTCTTTATTCTTAACTTTCTTTTTGAGAATTTTGATATGGGAACAATACTTTAAAATCTGACAGTAGCAAAAAATGAGGCAAGCTTTTTTATCAAATATTTTGAAATTATTATTTTATGCTAACAAATATAAGTGAAATATATAGCAGTGTTATACAATGGTGCATGCAGTTATTAAATTTAATCTATCGATTGTGCAAAGAGAATGTTTTAGTATATGATTAGATTTCTTCAGAAAAATAAGTCATTTGTTTACAGTGTACAGGATCAATGTACCATTCATTTCCATTTTCCACAGCTGCTCAGTATTCCCGAATCTTTTCTCAGTCAGTATGACTTCAATGTGTCCACATCTTCTCTGTGGGTTTAATATCTGGTGAGTGACTAGATAAAAACAACACGGCCAAAAACTGCTACTCAAACTATGAATTTGTTGTTTTTTGTTATGTGTGTTGAAGCATTATTTTGTTAGAAAATGACCTTTTTGTTTTTTAATTCCATAATACAAATTGTCCAGGCTTGGATATGCAATTATTTTTTGTAATATATTTTGATACTTCTTTGCATTAATGAACTCTTCAGTTTCTACAAACTTGCTAATGTCGAATACATAAAATATCCCCATAATTTCATTTTCTCTATGCATTCTGGATTGAATCTTTCAACTCATTGTCAACAATACTCATCACTCCAGAAAGCATTGCTCCAAACACTGAGTATCATGAAGTAACAAAAAATTCAGTTTTTGCTGACAGGAACAATTTCTTTGATGTAAAATTGTTCTTGATTTATTTTTTAATTCCTAGATTCATTATGATGCTTCAGAACAGTCATTTTTATTTTTTCATCTCAGGTTCTTATCACTTGAGGTCTTTTAATATCTTTGTCACAGAACCTGTTACTTGAAATGTGTGACCAATTTACTGAATCCAGATATTCTTCAATTTTAAGTGTTTCCAAATATCCAAAAAAGAGTTTGTCATTACTCAACCTGTTTTGTCCATGGTATTCTCAGCATCCTTCTGTAGAATCATATTTCTGTTGCTTCAAGTATTGTCATCATTAAGGAGATTGTCCAACATTCTTTGCCATATAGGAGGACTGATATTACATAACAGTTCAGTACTCTTTTCTTTGTTTCTAACAACATTTTTCTGTTTTTTCATACTTTGCTTAGCTTAGAAGGCATTTTTCACTATCACTTCAGATTTCAGTATTGTACTTTCTGTCCTCTGTTAAAACACTTCCCAGATATTTAAATTTTTGTGCTTGAGGGATTTTGATATCTCCAATTTATAATTTGCATGTTGAGCTGTCCCTTTTGCTAACAACCATGCATTATATCTTCTTGCAATTGATTAATTTTTTCTTCTTGCTTTCTTTCACTACTTTCTGTAGGAGCATTTGTAGAATACTTTCAATGTCTGCTATCAACACTGTGTCATCTGCACATCTAATGTTAAGATTGTAGCCACCAATAATGAATTCTGGTAGGACTTCTAATTCTATCAGAATTGCTTCACTATATAGGTTGAATAAGTCCAATGAGAAAACACATCATTGTCATTGTCTTTCTGCTTTTGTATATTTACTGAATTCATTTTCTATCTGTATGCAGGTGATTTGCTGCTAGTGTAGGTTCTGGATTATTTTATTTTTCTCAAATATAACATGGTTACCTAGCAGTTCATTTTTTTTTTTGTAACTCTAACATGAAACTAACTTTTAAGTAAGGTCAAATCAAATCAAAGTCTGATCAACATTAATGCAGTTAGATATGACTGAAGAACAGTCAAGATGATGATTTTAATGAAAATTTGGTTACAAAAAGACTATCAATAATTTAGTGTATTGATGTCACACATTTCTTGACTATTTTTACCTCATTGTTTTACCTCAGGAGTTTATATAGTCTCTCTATAAACATTTCTGTTATCTTAGTTTTGTTGAATCTCAAATCTAATAAATTTCTGAGTCAGCAGAACAGATTTTACTAATCTCTGAACTTGCTTATAGATAAATTTATGTGCTCAATATGAGACACGACAAAACAAGTGATAATATTTGGAACTTGTTGGATCATAGATTGACGTATTTTCAATGATTACACTTCATGATAAGAAAAGAAGGACAATAGATATTGCATAATCTGGTTTAAATCCACATGGTTTTAGAGCATTTTTACAATAGATATTGTATAATCTGGTTTAAATCCACATGGTCTTAGAGCATTTTTACCTAATGTTTCTTTTATAATATGAAGTGATAATTTTTTGTTGTTTATTTCTTTACATTATTAAAAATGTAAAAACAAAGAATTTAGAGAGGTCATTTTTATTATGTAAAAATAATGGAAACCAATATTTACATGAATTTTATGATTTGTTAAAATTTTATTTAATTTGTTTAAATACATTTCAAATATTTTTTTACAGGCTATCCATGCAAGAAGTGTTGTTCCTTGTCAAGACTCTCCTGCAGTGAAATTTCCATACACTGCTAAGGTGAGAATAAAATAAATCTTAAGTATTAAGAAAGAAAAGCAAGGTAATGTCTACAGTTGAAAAAAAAGTACATAAAAAGAAAATTAACAAGATACACAAAAAGAATTTCAGTTTACAAAAACTCAAAATTACTGTACAGAAAAAAAATACAATTGTTCAATAAAAGAAAAATCAGTAAATGGTAAGAAAATACATTACAAAGAGAAAAGTTATTTTACAATAGTATAATAGTAAAAAAATGTTCTGTTATAGAAATTCTTTTTATGGGTTGTCTTAGACTATTGTATTTTTGTTAACAACCCTCATCTAATCATCACTGTCATTTCTTAATGTGTTTTTTCCATAGTTTTAACCCACAGTGTCTTGTCAGAAGTATTTGTCTCCTAGATCACATTTTGATTAATTCATTAAGTTAATGGGTAGCCTAACTTAATTCATTTATTTGTATAGAAATATTTGTGTAAAAATGAGCCCATCTGATAATGGGTATTGCAGTGATTTTGCTGCCATTACCTGGGCAGAGGGGTAATTCTGGGAGAATAGAAAGCCTATGTACTTCACCTACTTTTTTTCTCTGTCTACCAATATATGACTTTTAAACATGACTGACAATTGAAGAGAGAAGAAAAAGAATTGGATCATGCTTTCCCTAGCTTCATCTCTTTTGTTTCTTCCATACATGTTTTTCACCTCATGTTACTCCTTTTTATTCTCTCATTCATATTTCATCTTTTATTTTTCAGCTTGATTTCAATTTGCATTTCATTGTGATTTTTCAGGTCACTGTTCCAAAAGAAGTCATTGCTTTAATGAGTGCTTGCAGAAATGGTTACTCCATCAGCCGATCTGACAATTCGAAGAAAGTCTTTTTCTTCAAACAACCTATTCCCATTCCTAGTTATTTGATTGCCATTGTGGTTGGAGACTTGGAGAGCCGGTGTGTGTCATCTTTTCTTTCTTTTTCTTTTTTTTAACTAATGTTTACACTATACAAGGCTCAAGAGCTACTCAAGGTAAAGGGTCACTAAAGGCAGTTGTATGAGTGGCAAGTTTATGTGGATATGGGCAAAAAATAACGGTTAACTCTAGACTTGAAGAGGTTAATATTGTAGTACTTCTGCTGGGATTTTGTTCTACAAAACAACAGTTCTTGGAAATAAACTGAGGGGAAATAAGGGTGGTTCATATTGATGTACATGGCAGGGTCTTAGCTGGGATGGTTAGAATTGAAAGTACTAAGGAATGTTGCATAATTGAACATTTTCTATGGGAATAGTGGTGGAGTAGTAAGAGGCTTCAAAAGTAGTTGTAAATTGGAAAACAATTCATCATCCATAAAACTGTAAAGGTAGAGCATAGAAGGACGAACCAGGTACTTACTGGAGAATTACAGGGAACCAACCATTTTTCCAGCATCTTTAGCAATAGATTGTATATACAAGTTACACTTGAGGTTTGGAGTGAGATTAAGAGCTAATAGGCATTCAAGGCTGTGATAAAAATATTACTAAGTTTGTGCTCTGGGAAGAGGATGACCCTTGTCATCTACTGTGGAGATAGAAGCAAAGATGCCTTATCTGACATGGATGAGGTAACTTCAGGGCCATTTATGATAGTAAGCACTGATGCTTTGTATCTATTGAGAATTTGGTTAGAGATCTTCCAGAACTCATGGATCCATGTTATTTGCTTTTGACATTGGCTTGGATTGCTTCTGCACTTTGTGTTTTCAAGAATACTCTTGCAATGATTGTGGGCAGTGATGAATTCAGCAAGGGTCCTACTACACCATCCCTTGTGGTAGATATTGTAGTAGTGGTTATGGTAAGCAAATTCTGGCATGAACCAGGGCTGTCTATTCAGTTTTTGCTGATATTTTTTCTATGGTACAATCCTTTCTATGCCAGAATGTATCTATTCAGAGATGAGGACAGTAGTTCTGAAGGCTCTATATTTGCTTCCGTAATATAAGATCTAAAACTGTCGAGCTAATTAAAATATGAAGGATTAACGGTGATCTTGTTGCGAAAAACTGAACACAAATATGATCAGGTGAATCTACAATTTTAATAGAAACATATCTATGCTTAACATATACATCCCACTTTGAGGGATCTGTTTTCGTGATAGTTTATATCAATACTCATTTTTTCTGTCAGCTCTGTGGTGTTGGGCCATGAAAAAAAGCAATTTTTTTTAACAAGAAAATTAAAATTATTGTAAAAATGCAAACTGTTGTGTGAAAGCTAGAAATTAGAAGCCTCTATAAAGAGATAGGAAGCTCTGGAACAAGAGCACAATATTTATCTTATTTATATGCAGACTATTGTCCTCAACATCTCGATCATACTGCTCTCAAAAGGGCACAATGGCTGAGATGTGATAATAAGAACAACAAAAATAGTCCACAAGTAAATAAGGTAAAAAAAATCATAATTCTTCATCATGGAAAAATGGACACAAAAGACCACAATAGTAGAGAACTCAGTGAGAATACTATAAATTACATAAGCTTATATTACAGTAAGAAGTATTGCTATCAATCTTAGGTAAAAAGAGCAAAAAAAAAAATCTAAAGAATTTAGTTTTTTTTAATTGTTTTTTAACAGAGACATTGGACCTCGTAACTAAATCAAACAAGAGAGAAATGGTAGATTCAAAGCAACATTTGAGATTCTCTGAGGTACCGATTTAGCAGCAAATTCTTCCACTTGTTAAAATGTTAATTTTCTGTGGTGAACAGCCCTGTGGAAATAAAGCAAGCCAAGTGGTTTGCATCTGGTGCATAGGTTTAAAAATTTGGGTCTTATTTTAACATGCGACACGTGACATCGTAAAGTTTGCTTAGGCAAAACTACTTATTAATTCCCGAAAGTATCTATTTAACGTTTGTTTTTGTAATTCTATAGAAACCAACAACGAAAATTACATAACCAGAGGAGGTTAAATGCCTGGGTAAGAAATAACAAAAGGAAGAACGCTGATTGGTAATAAGATTGAAAAGTTGGCACAAAAACGAGGGCTGAAGTATTGAAGAAAAGGAAAAAAATAACTATGGAATACATTTAATAAAGAATTTGGGAAACTAAGAAATGAATTGAAACAGTGGTATCTGATAGAATTGTACAATTGACACCGTAATAATAGAGACTCCATCTAAACAACTAAACTGATTTGTTTTCCACCAAATCATCCGGACAGAAATTTTGATATTAGACAGAAACCTGAATAAAGTAGGGCCGCTACTGATCTACCAATTGTGGAGTGGATTGAAAATATGGAGTTTTTTTGAAAACTCTGCGAGATGAACGACAAAAATGCATGGGTTTTCCACTGTGTTTGCAAACCAGGGCTCCCTGTATAAAAATTGAACAAAGGAACAAACATCTAGATATATGATCAGTTTCATCTAAGCCCTCATAACTGAAATAAAATTGCCGTCTTATTCACCGCTAGATATTTGTGTCTTAATAATTTTGGCCAGCAAAATTGTAGATTAGTTGAAGTGGATAGCTTTGTTGGTTGGTGCCAACTAAATGAACAATGGATGATGAATACCTTTGTTTCTGGACCTTTTCAAACAAGTCAACCAAAAAATCGCATCATCCAGAATGAACACCATGACATTGGACCAGATCCTCATGATACTGATTTATCTGAACTAAAAAAGACTGGATGAAATAGTTGTCGAGCAGCTCAACAGACGAATTTACATTACGAAATGGACGGGCGGCATTATGAGCATTAATGTTAATAGAAAACCACCTGGCAAAGGATTGCAGGCAGTTTAACGAGAGGATGTCCATCTGGAAATCAAGACGCCGCAAGATATGGTGTTTAAATGCAATATAGGTTGGGCATATCTGAGTGCCAGAGAAACGGATCTGGGGAACAGATGTCATGCTGGTCTTTTCCCCAAGTGACTAAGAACATGGCGCTACCTATCATTGAGGTGGAGAAAGACTGGAAGAACTTTGCAACCCTGATATTTGAATTCTGGTTTTATAAACATTGCAAAACAAATGTTCAAAAAAATTATTGGCCAATGAAAACAGAAATTCTAATGAAAACCAAAAGGTGTTAAAACTACATGGAAATAATAAATATTAGATGTTAGTAATTAAAACAATGTGTTCATTGAAGCCAGGAGTGGATGGACCCTGTAATTGGGTTCAAATCTTCTTCTTGGGATTGAAGCAATCTAAGAAAAAGATTATATGCAAAAGGGACATTTCAACTCAAATGCTCAGGAGAAGTTAATGCTTTTTTTGAAAGACAATTTTAAAATAAAAGTGCTATTTCATCAAAATTGAAAATGATTTTAGTGTAGAGTTCAGACCATGCCATAACAAAGTCATGGAAGTGGACGAATGGACAATTTTTTTTAACCCTAAAGAACCATTGGCAGGATATTCAGTACCCAACTATGCATGGGACAAATATAAAACAAAAGCGATGGAGTGGCTGGAAAATGGATGGCTTAAAATAATGAGAAAACTTGGTCCAAAATGTAAGCATACAAGAAATCGCCAAAGGTGAAATCCAAAACTGGATTAGTCATATGTTTTGAAGTTATGATACGAACCATATACTGCTAACTCAGAGTGTATACAATATAAAAAACAAGAATGGCGACAATTGGGGCCAATGTATGTTTGTTGGCTTTATGGACAATTATCACACAGATACATATATATAACATTTATATATATCAAACTGTCACACAAAGTACAAGATAAATAAAATGACTGGGTTTGTGTCTTGAATGTGGCAATTCTCATCATCCCATAATTGATAAGACTGTATTGTTAAAAACGATTATTCAGTTGGAGGAACATCGAGGACATACATAGGCATCTTGAAAGTTTGTCTTATTGCACGCCTGGGAGCATTGTCCACACACACGGACTACACACACAGGAACAAACAATATTTTAATAATGGAATAAGGTATTGGGATTTCTGGAGATATAATGCATACATCTCCGATGGAGGCGATATGGATTTCCATGATTTCCCTATTGAAATAATATTAAATATGTAAAACCGATCAAATTTTTTTTATTTTCCCTGTAATTATTTTTTACGATTTATTACAATATGATATAAAACTAAGCTTAAGCACTCTAATTAAATAGGATGGGAAAATCAAGTTGAGGATTTATAATTGCATGCTGGCCGACATAATAGCCAGAATAGCAGAAACAAAGGCTGAACAGTAGGAGGAGACTGTTATGAATGGCTGCACAATGAATTGACTGTTTGTAGTTAAAGTTCATTAGGAAAAGGTGTTGTATTGGAGTTAACTGGAAAATTTTAGGAGAATAATTGGCTGCACCTTCATTTAAATAATAATTTCATCAATTTGACTGAGCTGGAAATGCATAAAATTGAAAATTTAGCATTTTTTAAATATAGGTGTCATCTCATTTTTTTGGCCTGATTCAAAATGTGTTATCATTCAACTTAACTGAAAAGGCTTCAGACTAAAATATCAAGATGTCTGAAATTAAATTATAATGGCAGGAGGGATGAACACATTTAACGTCGTTCCTTCCAATATATATTGAAAATGGACATAACAGTGTTTACAAAAGAAACATTTTGAAAAAGGAAGGGTGCCAAAAAAGGATATCAAAACCATTTAGGAGAATGGAAGTGCAGTCAGTATCACCACTGCAAATACCAAGTTGGCTTTACAGTTCAAGTTTCATAATATCCACTGGAAAACAGGACACACGGGCATGAAAAGGACCCTTCACATTGTTTATTTTAGAAGACCCTTTAAACCTTCAGTTTTTGTTAAAGTGGTAAGTTTGAATGAACTTTGCCAAACCATTGACTTGTGTTAACATGTCTTCATTGGCAAAAAATTGTGTCTGAATTCAGGGATAACTGAATAGGTAAAAATTGGACAGAACCCACCATTATTATACCCATCTTCTGATTTTATTATTGTGGGTCTTATTAGATT